AATGTATTATTATTACCACTATTTTAAGTAGAAGGACTGTGCAAGAACTTTTCCTGGAGTTTTTAGTTTTTATTTAGACTTGCATCATTGCCCAAGACCACAATTTGAATCTGTCAAGCCTCATCCCACAATCTTTTACTCCCCTAAACGCTGCTTATATTTGATTCTGTCCTGAGAAGGAGTCTAACCAAACAATTTTCAGCATGCAAGTACCCTAAAATGTAGTTAAACATTACTAGAGGAGACGGCACTGGGTGATGAATAGGCAAGCAGGGTAACCTGACCCCTGAGAGCTTACACATCCCCTTTTTGTTTGTTTGTTTGTTCTGCTGAACTTTCCAGGAGTTTCAGCTGCAGGAAAACCCTGGGCCTTATTGTGCTAGAAAAAGTCATGAAAATGCTTTAATTCCTATCACCACTTTGATCATTTGTGCATGTATTTTCTGACAAGAGATTATTCTAGCTGCAAGCTGTCATAGAGAAAATACATTCAAGTTTCTTCCATCTGATTTTCTTCCATGAAAGAGAAATTGTGTTTGGGTGTCGTGCCGTTCCCCCTGCTTTTGCTCACTGCTTATCCTGCCTCTCTGATAAAGGTCAAAAGCAGGTAATATATGTTGAAATTTCCACAGAGCAGGGTAAGCTCTGAGGTTGTTGACTTTGATATCAGTTTTCTTCCACCTGGAGGGGGGGGAAATCACTCCAGCTTCACATTGATTTTTCATGGAAATTCACCAATTTCTCCTAGTTTAAGAACTGGTCTCTGATTTCTTCCTGATTATCATATCCCACTGCCCCTCACATGAAGTACTGCTTTGTTTCAGGTCAGGGTGATGATATCATTGTTACTGCACTGAGCACGGGGCAAAAACCTCAATTTTCTAGAATACTGGTGCTGAATGACAGAGGTTACTTCAGGAAAAAGACAAAACACCAACCCCTAACAAACACACCTTAATAAGAAGGGAAAATAATGAAAGGCAAAGTTGCATAAAGCTTGAAATGGGAATGCAATGTGCCTGTGCCTTCGTGCAGAAGGTGCTAATAAGCTTGGGGTTGCAGAATTAACCACTGTCAGGACTTTAAATACTCCTTTTACAAATCACCCTTTCCTCTGCCTGTGCTGTTCTGTTTGAGCTTTCTCTTTCTTCCCTAGCTTCAGCCCTTCTGCTTTTAGCTGCAAACTAATACAAGAGAACAAAACTTGTTTGCATTCCTGCAACTTTGGATAACACAACATGAAGTGATGGAATGAGCCACATAATTTTATGGTCCCCCCGACACTGCAAGGGGCAAAAATAGCTTTTAAACAAACAAATTTGTGGTCGTCAACATGCTTAATTATTGCAGAATTGGATTAGGATGGTTCCATTGGGCTCCCAAGAGTTAAAGTCACTTTTCTTCAGGTATATTGATGTAGGTGTTGGTATTAATTCACCCTTTTGGGCTCTTGCAGATGCTATGGTGAAAGTATTTAAAACTTATGCCTTAAAATGTTTCTGGGACATGAACTCTTAATTTATTATTGTGGGAGTCTAGAAATCTAAAGGAATTAATTAAAATCTTATTAATTATCATTTACTCACATATTCAAGTAGAAGTGTTGATATGTGATCATTACATTTAAGAAAAAAAAAAAGAAGAAAAAAAGGCTTTGAAAACTTCAGTTGTAAAAATAGGTAGAATATTCACTCCCATGAGAGGACAGGAAAGCAGTTGGGTTATTAAAAGAAATCCAACAAACCAGACTAAACCAGCTAATTAAACCAGAGAAAGAAAGCTACAGTAAAAAGAAGAAAAAAGTGTGTATGTGGGGGGGGAAATGTGCTGTAAGAAAATTTCATAGAAATTTTCTAGAAAATTTATTTCTAGATAAAACAAATGATTTAAAATCTACTTATCCAATAGTATGAGAAAATATTTCATCATAAGATAGACATAATTTTTATAGATATTTCATCAAGCTAACATTTCTAAGACTGTTTACCAGTCACAACTTTGACAAATACACAATTCACCCTTTGTGAATGTTTTAAACCCAATCAAGCGAAGTCTATCTTTAAATACTGATGAAAATACAGATTTAATTCTTTAGAGCATTTTTCCCAAATGAATATAAATGTGAAGTTTGCCCTTTAAATTAAATGACAGCAAGAAGTCAGGGGAAAATAAAACAAAACAAACAGTTTGAGACTGATTCATCTCTTGCTAACCTCATTATAAATAAGAGACTGGCTCTAATTTAGGTAATAAGATTTCACCAGTGTAAATTGAATTAGACTAATTATTTTATGATTAAAATGATCCCTATCTTTGCAAACAAAATAAAGGGTTTGTTTTTAACAATTGCAGGATTTTTCAAATTGAAAAAAAAAAGAAAATTGGCATGAGATGTAAAAGCATAACTCCCACAAACAGAGTGTTACTGTGAGAAGAAAAAATATTTTTCTTAATTGGTTTATATTTAAATCTTTATTTTCAGAATTTTAATTAATTTCTAAAATGCCCTGTATAATCTCTCACATCAAAACCAATTTGGGCTATATATATTAAAAAAGTGTTTATTTCTTATTGTCATCATTCCTTTGCACAGCACAGAACATATCCACAGTTTGCAAGTGTGTAAAATTAATTTGCCAACGTGTGCAACTATCCCAAAAGATAAGGGCTGAATTATCAGGTGTTTGAACCTTTAGAAAACAGGAAAGGGTCGTGTTTAATCTGTTATACATGATGTTTGTTATGTTTTTTAAGTGCTCTGTAGTAACCAATTATTTTTATAATGCCTCTAATTGCATAAAAAGCAGATATGATATGCACGGTTCAGGGCAAGAAAGTATTGATTTTCATTCTTGATACAGAAACTCACCCGATAAACTTATTAAGCTGTGCGTTGATGAAGCAAATTGTACTATAAGTACATAACAAGTGCTGAAAAGATAAATACGCTTTCAATTGCAACGCAAATACACGTCCCTGCAGCAGTAGTTGACCAGTACATGCAGCCGCTTCTCCCTGCACGGCCAAACTAGCAATGCCACCTAACGGGGAGCCAGCACCTCGCACAACATGAGCAGTCATTTGCCTTGATAGCAATCTTCGCTTTGCTTTAACAGCTTTGAAAAAAAGCTTTACAAAGCAATAGTTTCAGTGGAAGAATAACATAATGCTGTAGCAAAGGCTGGACAAATATTTTGATGGTCTTGCTAGATGTCAACACTTGAAATGAGTAGCGTTGTCTCAACCCATCCCTGTCTCATGGGCAGGCAGATACACGTGGCCCCTAAAGTACAAGTCTTGGTTTTTTATGGGGTGCACAGCTTATATTTATTATCTTCATCGAAATACCCCATTCCTGTTAGGCAAAAACCTTGTAGATGTGACCTGGTTGCAAAGCAATAGTACACTTGGATGCACTAATGAAAATACACATGGATGCACTAATCCCTGCTCTCTGACGCATGGTCATGACACGCTTTCATCTTCCCCGTCACTCTCCCCTCCACGCTCCATCTCACGCATCCCAACATGCACAGGCACAAGCATACACGGCTGCTCACACATGTCCGTTTGCAACCAGATGCACAGACAAGAACTGAGGGGTGCAGAGACAGAGGATAAATATGGCCTTGTCTTAAGATGGTCTTTGCACATTGTATCTGCTTTCTGCAGCATTAGAATGATGTGTGCATGCACCTCCCCAGGGATGCTTTTATGTATATACCCATTGGCAGGCATGCATCACCAACACATGCATGGTTACCTATACACCCATATACGTATATAGGGGTGAATTTTGTTGTGTTTTCAGTGCTGCAGCAAATGAAGTTTGACCAGCTTTTGGGAGTGACTCCCAAACCAGGTCCTAATTTGAAGATGATTTAAGATTTCCACCCTAGTTAAATACCCTTGGATGTAAGACTATTAGAAAGCAGTTTGGATTTTGCTCTCCCCTTTCCTCACTGTAGCTGAACAAAGCACCGTTCTCTCTGACTCGTCTGTATTTTCCTTTACAATGTACCCAGGATTTTCCCCTAATTTATTTCTGTAGGGCTTGATCCAAAGCTCCCGCTGATTTCAGGAGGTTTGGGATAGGGCCCTGCTCTTCTTCAGCTCTTGACCTGTTGCAGCCAGTCTGAAGTCAGTGCTAATTTGAATGATAAACATCAGGCCACACACATAAAAAATAGTTTAAAGGAAGGCTTTTTGGGGAAAAATTTCTATAATATTTTAATAGAATGTGTTCTGCGTATTGCCAAGGTTTGCATCCCACACACTGCTATTTCAAGCATATTTTAGTATGTTAAAGTTAGGGATAAAAGTCAACTATAAGGTACAGTTTTATGTTAAAGTTAGGGATAAAAGTCAACTATAAGGCACAGTTTTAAAAGCAGCAGGATTAAATGCAGCAGTTAGAGACAGTGGAGCTGAAAAAAAAACCCAATAACTGTGCAAAGAGTAATTTTGCTGACCAAAAAAAAAAAAAAAGGAGAGAAAAGAAATCGAAATAATAGCAAAATTAACTCAAACGAGCCCAACAACAGAAAACCCGAGGCAAATAAAAGAGAGCGGAACAGATTTACGTGTTTGCTTTTCTTTCTGCACTTGGATCTCTTGTCGTAGCCGCAAGGACTGCAAGGATAGAACACGGAATGGGAAATAAAAGGAAAAGAGGGGGGAACAAAGTTTGTTGTTTTGTTTTGTTTTGTTTTGTTTGTTTTTTTTTGCCTTTTGTTTGTTTGTTTGTTTTGTTCTTTAAAAGGGTCAATTTAAGGCAAAGGACGCAAAAGGGAAGGCTGCAGCCCGGGACAGCCCCGCTCAGAGCAGCGCTGCCGCTTCCCCTTGCCCAGGCTCGGTCCCAGGAGCAGGAGAGATTTTGCTAGGCAGAAAGCTGGGAGCGAGGAAGGGGATGGCGCAAATCACGGGCTCGGAGGGGAGGAAGAGGAAGAGGAGGAGGGTTTGGGGACGGGGAGAGGGAAGAGAAAAGGTCCAGTACATACAGCTCGATGAGTCCACCAGCCCCCAGCCTCCGCTTGTCTCCCTCTCTCTGCCTCTTAAGTCAAAAAGGAAATGCGGTTCTCTCTCTCTTTTTTTTTTTTTTGCAGAATCAGAAAACGAACCGTCAGGAAGTTGGCAAAATCTCTAACTAAACAATCAATCGAGGAAACGCAACAACTCCGCGCGGGCCGGGCGCTTTTGGCAGGGAGGGCAGCGGGGCCGGCGCGCAGGTCCGCGCAGCGCAAGCAGCGCTCCCATACGCAATACCTTCTCATTCCTGTGTTTTTACCCCACAGAAACTCATCGTCAGGGACCGGTTACGCGCCCGCGGACCCCCAGCATCTCCTGCCGCACAGTTTGGGTACGGCAAAGTGCACGGTAGGGGCGGGGGGTGCCGGACAGATGTACCCCCTCCCTTCCCCTCTCCCCTGGGGCTGCCTGCCCGCAGAAACACCGACATCAGCCCGTCTGTCCCCAAAATGAGCTGACAGACACACCCGCGCAATTATCCGCGGCGTTATCCTCCCTTCTCACGGGCTGCGACAAGCAGAATGGAGAACGGAGCGAGCTCCGTGCTGGTGCTCATTCTAAGTGCGTTTCGCGCAAGGATGAGTGCAGCAAAGGGAGGTTTGGGTTTGGTTTGGGTTCGTTTTTCACAGCTATCGCCCCTACTTTCCCCAAGTTTTCCGTATTTCGCCCGTTCCTTCCCCTTCCCGTTTCGAAATGCCGGTCTTTGCTTGCTGACCAGACCGGAGGGCTCCCTCCTCCTTAGGCGAACGCAACAAATACTTGAATAAACAGGCTACGGGAGCGGAGCAGCATCCCTGGGAGGGAAGTTACTTTCCTTGGGCGACAGTAACCCACTAAAGCCCTGCAAGGGATCTTCTCCGGGGGGAAGGGGGGGTCATCCAGATGCTGCTGAAAGCGGCTGGAGACCCCCTCCTTGCCCTTCTGCTGTTGCCCCCCGAGGAATGAGGGGCTGGGACTGGGACACCCCTGGGGACAAGGGGGGTTGCCCTCCCCTAGAACTGCGGGACACGCTCCTGGGTCATTGCTAAAAGCAACACAACTCCGTATTTTTTAATAAAGAGCGTTCTCTTGCGAGCTGGCCGCCTTCCACCCGCCCCACGGATGAGCTGGCTCTGTAAACACGGAATAGCAGATTAACGCTGCTGTTCTAACCTCGGGACGGGGACGGGACACGGACCCGTGCCATGCGAAAGCTTTTACGGCCGCTGATCTATGGGTTCCATAATAACCCTTTTGTTTGGAGGGGGACAACAGCGGCGAGTCCTGCTGCCACCCCCCCACCCCGAGCTTGGCTCGGCTCGGCCCGGCCCGGCCGCTCTCCATCCTCCATCTCCATCCTCTCCGTCCCCATCCCTCCCCAGCCCGTGGCTGGCCGGGGCGCCGGGTACTATCCGCAGCACCACCAGTTGCAAAAATCGTGCATAAGGAGTCTTTTTCTTTAAATTTTATATTTTTAAAGTATTTTTTTAATGGGTGATGGCTTTCATTTGCCAGCTCAGAAGAACCCGTGGAAAGTGGCAAAGTGAGCTGCCAGTAAGGGGGGCTGCTCTTTTACCAGCTGGAGGGAAACAGGGTGGGGGGAACAGGGTACAGAATGAAGGGGAAATCAGGGAAACAAGTACTGGAAGAAGAACCCGGGGGGAATGGGGGGGGGGAGCTGAGCACTGCAGCCATCCCGCAGCCTCCCTGCAGCCTCCCCTCAGCCGTCACAGCCACCCGCCTGCAACCTAGCCCAGCCTCCCGAAAGAGTGGTTTGTTGGCAGAAAAGGAGTTGAAATAAGAACAAGAGGAGGGGGGGGAGGAAAAAAAAGGAAAAGAAAAAAAAATATTTTAAAGAAAAAAAAGAAAAAAAGAAAAAACCTAAAAAAAATCAGAAAGAAAAGAGAAATAAAGGAAAAAATAAAGGGAAAAAATAAGATAGAAAAAAAAAAGAAAAAAGAAAAGAAAAAAGAAAAGAAAAAAGAAAAAAGAAAAAAAGAAAATAAAAGCAAAAAAGGGAAAAAAAAGGAAAAATGGGGGGGGGGGGGGGAATGGCAAAAAAATGTTTCCCCACTCGGAAAAAACAAAACCAAAAAAAACACCTTTAAATTGTGAAATATTTCCCTGAGTAAGGATTTTCCCCCATATCGTTTTACTCTCTCAATCCCTTTTGGTAAATCCCTTCCATGCACGATACATTTGGGGTTTTCCCCTGTGTTTGCCCTTTCTGTGTAACACGGGCATGATCTCGCTTAATGGTTTGACTTGATTTGGCACATCCCCTATGACAGCGAGACGGGGGCATTTAAAAACTATATAAAATCGGAATAAAACAGCAGATGGAAGTTGGAGTACCCGGAAAACCTCTAGACAGAGCACACTGTAGCCAGAATGGGCTTTACCTTTATGAGACGCTAAAAAATGCTGCTATGGACGCTTTGGAGACCTTTGAAATCCCTTCATTTGCTATTTGATGCATTTGACATCCGAGCTCATTGTACCCCCGAGGCGTCCAAAACCTTGAAAATCGGGTTTTATTAACCTAATAAAATGCAAGCACGCAAAATTCGGAGGGAAATATAAGAATAAAAAAAAAAAAAAAGGAAAACAAACAAAACAACCCTAAAACAGAACCCCCCCAAACAACCCTCTGACGAGTTTCTGGAACTATTTCAAGGTTGGATTAAATGTGGAGGAGGTGAACTATTTTTTTTTTTGGTCAGAATAGGATATTTATTTATTTATTACAGAGACGATTTTTTATAGCAGAAATCTAGCATCCCTTTACATTTACAACTGACAAGCTGTCTTCGTTTCCATCTTTATGATATATTTCCCCTCTTCCTTGATTCCTGCATTGCACAATAACTCAGCCATTTTTATGAACAAAGGGGAAATATAATGAGAACCATTACAGCAGCAGTGTGCATTTTCTGCTCCACTAGCAGAGGGGTTTGCATGCAATATATTTTGTTTCAAGCCCAAACTAGCGATCTTAACGTTTTACATGATGGGAAAGGATGTATTTACAGTGTGGCCGTTGTTCTCTGGGACATTGGGATTTTACGGTGCCATAATCATCACCTGGCTGGAGGTACCACCTCCACTTCCCTCCCCTTGATAGACAGCATCCTTCCTCCTGCAGCATCAGGGAGAAGGGAGCCAGATGTTCCCCCCCGGCTCTTCTTTTCCGTAACGAGAACTGTTAACGAAAAACAGAATTAATAATGAATAAGAAGGAAACAATAATAAAAAGCCACCTCTGTAACCGCTATGACTCCCAAAATGTAAATAAGTTCCAAGTTTCCCCGAACGCAGCTGGAATTCCACTGCAGCAGCCTCAGGCTCTTAATGCCCCGGGCACATGTTGCTGGCTTAAAGCAGCGTCTGGTGTTAGAAGAAACCCCACCTTTTTCTATCAGATTCCGCTCTAAAGTGCTTGTTTCCACCAAAAAAAGAGTGTGGTTTGGGGCTCTCTGGGGCATGGCTGTGCTCACGGGCACCTGCCACAGATAGCCGGGGCTGCTCTCACTCTAATTGAGGCACAGGTGCCATAAACTCAGCAGCAATTAACAATTGGTAAATAAGTGTGCAGACTATAAAGCTAAGTGTTGCATCCCTCAGATAACGGCTTATCTATATAGCCATTACACCCACAGTTGCCTCTCTTCCGTGTAGAGAGGCTGGAGGTGTTGGCTTCTATAGGAAAATATTTATCCAGTCCCTTTGGGACAGGAGGTTTTAACCCAGTCTGACTTTATTTGCCAGGAGAAAGCCTTTTCTTGTTTTTGTTTGGTGGTTTACCGTGCCATGGATTAAAATCCTTAAAAGCTTGTTGTTTGCCCACAAAACAGATAATCTGTGTGGAGCGACAGGAGTCTTAATCGAGTCTTCAGACAGGTATCTCTTCTGTCATTCTTTCTTGGCAAAGATCATCATTTGACCATATACACTCTTGGTAAAAACTTGGTGAAAGGCTCTTGGTAAAAACAAGCTTTATATATATTCTAGAAAAAGAAAAACAAGGAAAATAGGAGCCAACCCCTGAAGCACACTGGTCCATGTGGTCCAGCTAAGATAAAAGCAAAGCAAGCAGCAAGTCTCCCTTGGATCTGGGTACCACTCAGGGCCCTGGAGATGGGCACAGGAAGAGAAGATTCTCTGGAGAGAATCTCTCCACCCTGGCATCAGTGTACCCCACTTCTCTGATCCAGGGTGTTAGGCTGGTTCATTAATTACTACGTGGACTAAGGAGATTTAACCAGATTTAGGTGCTGGTCCTTTATCCTCAGTCTTTCTACTTAGAGTTTTATCTACTTAAGAATGGTCTGATGCAGGATGGAGTGCAGGGCGCTAGAGACCTCAAATACCAGACTTGTATTAACGTTCCAACAGCAGCACAAACTAGGAAAATGTTCTGTTATTTTTCTTGTAAATTTCAAGGTTTAATACAAAAAGCAGTATTTGTATATTTTTTATTTATTTTTGATAGATGAGGAAACTGAGGCACTAGTAAAAAAAGGGCTATCCAAGGTGTGTTTTCAGTGGTAAAGGATCCCAACATAGGTTATTTGCATTCCAGCCTGGTGTGTTCATACCAAAGCTACTCTGACTTTCCGACAGGAGTCTTCACCTGGTTCTTACTGAAGTGGATGGACATTTTAGTACCGCTTTCAAAGAAGAGCTGAGGAGAGTGGTAAATGATCATTCCCTATTGATCCTTTCTAATCAGCTCTCTGTTTCTTTTTTCCTCTTTTTTTTCCTTCATGTAAGCAAATCTCCCAGCTCCGGAATTCAGAGTTGGGGGGGTCTGTAGAAAACTGGGAGCACTGGTATGCATTGGTCCAGAGGAAAGCAAAATAATCAGTCTTCCAAGCAGCATTTTCAAACAGGGGAAAGCTGCAACCTGAACCCTTTCTCTCAACTAAAACTGTCCATTTTTAGAAGGGTACCCTTTCTGATCCACCTATATAATCCTAAAACATGACAATTTTGCTGGCAGCAGAATGCATAAGAGCAGCAGAGTGAATTTCACATGTGAAAGCCAAGTCATAACTTTCCATGATACTGCACACACAAAACTCAGGGCTTACACAGGAGTAGAAATCTTACATGCTTTAACTTAAT